CAAGGGCCAGGGCATAATAGGAGCTTCGTTACCGGATCGGTCGGATGCCACGACCATCGACCAATATTATGTCAGACGAGTCAGTTTTCAAACCCTTTTATCACTTTGGAATCACCGATTGACGTGCTTTCTTCGCCTCCATTGCACTATTCTCCACCTTACCTTTCATATTTCGTCATAACCTGCTTTGCTCGAAATTATTGTGAACTATGCGTTTAAGTGCAACAGTCCAGGATACCATTTGTAACATTGGCGGTTCTGTATTTGAGATGAGCTTCGAAGAATGCTGGCTCCAAGACACGAGGTAACCACTCGCTGTGACCTGATGACAATACCGGCGCTTCCTGGGGTGGAGTATATCGCTATTTCGGCTCGTGTTCTGAATACAGTTGCTTTGCCATTGTGAAAAAATAGCAAATACGGCTACAAAAGGTTCAATGAATGAGGCAAGCGAGAATTTTGAAATTGTTGTGGAAAAATATCATTAAGAAATACAGCTGCTACAAGCACAACCTGCCACAATCCAATTGAAACTGCAATATCCAGCTGACTGGTTCTAGTTTGGCGATAATTTCTGATGCCTTTGTGAAAGCCCAGTTGTTTTTCCACTATGTCACGGCACCTACTTAGAAGTGGTTCTTGAAGCACTTAAACAGACCACGAGTAGTTTCCGTACTGAAACTACAGTAGTTACCATGCCCGTCTTCCTGAAAAAATTTGATCGAGTGCCGTCGGAAAACAATAATCTGAAGAATAGTTTTGCAGTCGTCGATTGAGGAAGTGTTGTGAAATTGAAGATTAGTCTCCTTAAAGTCCTAGAAACTTCAGGAACATGTGTCCAGCAACACGAAAGCTACTCACAAAAAGTCTTACGCCGATAAATGAGGGAAAACGGTTCTCGCTGTAAACTCCATATTTGACTCTCAGGGAATCTTGGTGTGATGTACCGAAATCTTAGGTATTATTGTGAAATCTGATGCTAGACTTTACAAATTCCATCCAAGGAACGTCTCGGCCCTGTTGCCTTTGTCCAGAGCATGGATTCAGGTTCATGCTCAACAAAGTACATTCAGACGTCAGCTCAATTCAAGTAGCTATAGATCTATAGATATCTATAGTGATCTCGTGATTGCAACAGGTCACCCACTCCAAATTCACAGAGGAAAACCTTTGAATCGTCTATCAAAACGGCTATTTGGACCTTTTGAATCAGCGAGTTAGTTTCCGGTGACCAAACTACCTCCTTAACATCTGTGGCAATTGGAGACTATTGAGTGGAGAGACGAGCTGAGGTTGTTTTTTATGGTTATACACTCACCTTTCTTTTGCATTTTCAAGAACTTTTACTCTGATCCAAAATGCTCCAAATGTTGTTCGCGTTAAGGTCTTGGGCTCCACCATCGAAATTTTGTAGGCTCTCACATCAGAATTCTTATTGAGACCTCAAGCTTTCTTTCTTCGAGGCTTTCATAGTTGTTTGTATATGCTTAGAAGAGGTACTCGGAATGTCCTGACTCATGTTTCAAGTGGATGATGGGCTTCTATGTTCTTGCTTCACAACTATCAGTGACTTTTTCTGTATTCAAAATCCTCTGTTTATTCAAAACTCCACAGGAGGAAGTACTTCGGTAATGACACGCTACTCCTTGAACTTCACTCTCCGTCTCGTTCAAATACTTACTCATAGTTCATTTGTGGCGAACCAATAAACAAACTCGACGTCAATGAATTCCCTCCCCCTAAGTAAACACTTTTTCACATGGTTCTAGTTAGCTGACTTCTGATCTTAGCACTGCCATTCACGCAGGTGTTACCGGCGATGTTCGTCGCTACAGTAACCGTTTTAATAATCACATACAGTGCCCTTCTTCACTGCTGTCCTTTACTCAGTATGTTCTTCATACCATTTGAATTTTCTTTACAATCGTTTTTAATCTTCAGGAAACCGAATGTGCGTTTTGGAAAGAAAAACTTTCTATAAAACTTTCTAAGCGAGTTATACAAATTGCATTTCCGAACTCGAATTTTTAAAAAACAACCTCACCGGTGGGCCCATAGAACCGGCTTCCTGAGAAAATAATTTTTGAATGCAAAACAGAGAATTCGAAGGGTTCCATGAAGTACTCGAACTGCACCCTATGGATAAACATCCTGCTTTGTTTGGCCTCTACTGACCTTGAAAGTTTAAAAACCCTAACCTGAAATAACATTTCAAGCCAAAAGTTCCCAAAGACCATATGTCTGATTCACTCTCTCTTGCTTCCTATAGATCTCTCATGCTTAACTGAGCCTAAATAGATCGGTTCCCAAATGAGTTCTCAGAAACTCGGTTTCCAAGCTCAACTGCTCTAATGCTTGCACATGACTCCTTCCAAAGAAATCAGTTATAGCTTTTTTGGGACGTTTACACCACAAAAAGGTTCCAGAGGCGATGTCTCTAGTTAGAATTGAGAGAACGGTTTCACCTGAATTGACTTCCACGGAGTTTTTTTTTCAAGGTGGCTTCTCACTGCTTGTTTCAACTTTAACTGGTGATTATTTCAGATCGAACCGATTTTTTACGTGAAGAAGCGTTGCTCAAAAAGAAATTATTAGAAAACTACGATCCAAAACTTCCTGTTATCGCAACCGGTATGTTATTCTACCTAATAAAGTATTCTCCGCTAATCTCCGTATTCATATTACCTGGTAATCTATTTACCAGCTGTCTGGAATACAACGTAGCGCAGGTTGCCTTCATAGCTCGTTTTATGTTTGGGAATCGAATTTTCTATTCCTAAAATCTTCTCAGAAATTGATGGTCGATTGAATCAATCACAATCTAAGAAGTAAACCAAATGTTTCTTTGATTGGCTGCCCACCTAAATTCCTTTCCCTGTCAGAAGATTAGCTCGATTAGCTTCTAACGTCCTAGCCTGTTACACCTATATATAACACCTGCTACATTGGCCCCTATCTCGAGCACACAGTCCGGTGAATATGTACTATTCGTCGAAGGACGAAAGGCTTCCCTTCTCCCCTTTTCTTTAAAGCTTCTATAAAGTCTGACCATAGGGCTGTTGTCGAGTTGGCTAGCATTCTAGTCTACAAAATCAGAAACACTCACCTGGATCCAAGCTATCCCCTTCTTTCTTTGACGAAACGCGCTCACGATCATAAGCTAATGGGGCACTATCACGTACGTGGGCCTGGGATCGAATCCCGCCTTTATCATTTACACGCCCGGACCAAATAAGCCGTTCGTTCCGGGATCCGTTCATTGGTATCGAGCTCGTCTACCTGTATGAAAGCTTTGGTTATACATCGGTTTGTACATCACTGCGATAAGCCATTGTGTAGCCATTCACCTTCCAGACGCCGGTCGATTCGAAATGGCAGTGGGATGAGTGCACCCCACGAACGGGATCGATGCAGACTTAATGCTCATCACTTAACTTTATAGTGATCACCTTCTTCGGAAATCCTTGGGCATTTCCAATGTATACCTCAACTACGACTTTCTGCTTCACTACTTGCGTTCTAAGGCAGGAAGCTCCTGATTCCCAGTTTGATGTTGTGCAATTGCAGAGCGCGATACTCGTCAGCATATAGCTCGGGCTTAATTTCATGCTAAACCGAAGGTTTCGCCATTGTTTCAATACCCTTGTATTTGCACTTTCGGTATAGTGTTGAAGTTACGGGCAGAGGTGCTGTGGCACTGGCGCACTATCACAAAGGTATAGTATGTGATTCAAATTCAGATCGGTAATCGCCCAAGCCCTCCCTCCTCGGGGTAGTTCGAATGGGACCAGACTCATCTGGGAAGGTAATATACTGAGTTTTAAACTTTCGGAAACCGCAACAGCACTGTATAGGCCATATACGTAGGCAAATCACCACTAAAATTCTGTAATTTAGAGATTTAACGGAGAGAGGGGAGGGGTGTGAGCGGTATAGGAGGACAGGAGCGGGAAGCACATCCCAAAAGGAGGAATACCGGTAAACTGCAGCTGTAAAGTAGTCCTATTCATTGGTAGGTGCTGAAAGCTGTTCTGTACAAACTGCTTCAGAAACTGAAGGCCTCGAAATCCCACGATTTCAAGTCGATCTCGCTCTGGGTTTCTTGAAGCTGAAGCGTATGGTAAGCGACTAACCTCTAGAAACCCTTACATAACAGCTAAATCCAACTGCTGATTTCAGTACGAACCCGAACAGAAGGTCGATTTCATCTTCGAATATCAAATGGTGAGCTCTGGTCACAATATTTATTTCAATCATCTTGTTATATTGGATGTTGTGCCCCAGAACCGTACTTTGAATAACAGTAGCCCAATTTTAAAAGAAATTTAAAAAAGAAATGAGGAAAATAGGGAAAAAAGAAAAAGAGCAGATCAGGAACAGAAGCAAAAAGGGAGCTGTCTTTTAGAAAACCCTCTGCCAAATACGCTCAGCCCGTGAAGGTTCCGAGAAACTACTTATTTTGCTCAAGACACTCAGAAAGTTCAGGACTGGCAAGATGAACGTCTTACGTGGAATCCGTCGGAACACTGCGGTATCGAAAGAATTTATCTGAGCCGAGGAGATGTTTGGATCCCAGAGGTGACTGTGACTGAGGCGTGAGTTTAAATAATCATTAACTAGGCAAGGAAATAACCGTATTTGTTGATACGGTACACCATCCGCTAGGCCTCTGAAATTTGGGTTTAACTCGGTCGCTCTAACCTCTACGAAAAGGCAATTCACCAAGCACAAATAGCTGAAAAAGAGATCCTCTGATTTTAATTTTGATCTGGAGTGCCCATATGCCAACATTGCTCATTTCTAGATATCGGGGTAGCATGGTTCATGCATGAAAATTCATAAATGGCCAAGTTGCAATATGTTTTGCTTCATCGACTGCTACTGCAACTCACTCCGTCATCCCCATCGACCCCTCCTCCTCCTCCCTACCCTCCATCGCCCCTAGTAGTCTGCCCCTAGTAGTCTGTTAAGGAAGCATAATCATTAAGAGCTCTCAAACCGCTTCTCAACTTTGGATATCAAAATCACTTTTCACTTGTAGGGAATCGTCGCAAGACTTTCGCGAGGATTACAAAAAATATCTTTCGGTGAGTTCTTGCAAGGAGTGATTAGATGTCAAAAAAAATAAGCAAGCTACATCAAAAACCAAGTGCAAATGCTTTCAGCTAAACAGCACCGGACACTTGATATTCTTCGTACCTACAGTGACGTCCGTTTTATGTTCTGTTAAGGTATGCTGGATTAGAATCATATATACAATCATGGTTTCTATCCAGTTCTGATTTTTTCATTATCAATCGATTTTGAGACCCATTTCCCTGCCAGTGACCCTTTAAGAAGTCGATGATGGTTTGTTAGCGAATAAATTGGAGTAGGGTCAATTTCAGCGCCTACGATTGCCAGACACAAAACTTTCCAAATCCCTTGACATCAACTCTTAACATATGATAGGGAGATTCTGTTCAAGACTGAGAAGAACGAATAGATCAGTCACACTGGCTCGATAATCCGTGTTCAAAAGTCACCTCGATACGGAACGGAAGTCGCATTAATGGCTTATCCAGTAACCCCACGTAATAAGTAGAGCCTTGTACTCAACCTCCTATCTTATAAAGGATATGGAACTCTTAACATCGAATCATATCGATAGCTTTAGGGAATCAGGGATGGGGAAGTATTTATTCACTTAGTACTAAATATTAATACCGGATTAGAGCGATTAACAATCATTTAGCTCCTCAGAATGAGGCAAACCTCGACTATTATTTGAAATTGTAGTGGCGCTGGAATGTATATTCAACCCCTACAGTTGGATAAGTGATTTACACAGTTTCAGTCAATTTTCTGCCCAACTGATTCGATACCAAATGTAGGTGCAGCAGAAGAAAAGGGGAGAAGAAAATGAAGTTCGCAAAGAGGAACTGATAGGGATTAATGGTTCGATACATATATTGATTCCTAATCAAAGTATAATGTACCCGGTTAATTACACCCCTTCCTACCTCCACCCTATCAGCCCCTCTCAAATACAAGGGTTTTACAGGGGTAAAGACGACAAAAATGACAATTATCTCATCATATTAAGCTTTCTGGGTGGAAGTGGTGTAGTGGCAAGTGGTGCATTATCGCACAGACATGGTTATGGGTTCAAATCCCAGATCGATGGGTCGGTGGATTAGTACTTGGCTCCTCTTGGAGGATAAAAGCGCTGACCTGTACATCGTCTGGCCACCGCAAGTCATTGTATAAGCCACATACGCATTCATTGCGCCATTACGATTTTGAGTAGAAGTCGAATGCGGGGCGCATCCCTCAGACGGGATTGATTGACGCTCAAAGATTTTTTCCTTTATCCTTTACGTGGTTTTCCCTATCCTATTAAAAGATAGTTCGTTGAATCAGCAGATCCTGTTCGTTCGTAGTTCGTAATGATTGAATAGAGGTTATCTATAGAATTTTTAAGGTGCGCGATTTTCCTTTCGACAGCCAGGCATGTTCTATTAAAATGATGACACATTCGTTTCGAGCTACTGAATACGGTATAAACATTTTGATTCCTCCAGCAATCGAGAAAGCTTCACCACTTGAAGATATGGTATGTACTTTATTGATCACTTTATCCAAATCACCGCGGTTCGATTACCACAGTAGAGAGTTAGCCGATTACCACAACTTCGCCAAAGAAGGCGGTTCGCCCGGCTAAAGCCGGCCTTTCCACCTTCTTCGGCGAAGTTGTGGTATCGGCTCACTCTCTACTCCCTCTTGTAAACAAATAACATTTTCTAGTACACGAAGTTTGACACTGGACTAACAGGGCATTGCAAATAGTATTCAGTGAAAGTCGGTGCTTACGCCTTTGATCAGGAGTCTCGATCTTTTGCTCTCGTTTTTAAAAGTAAATACCCATTAAAGAATCGATTGTTGGGCAACCATAACCATCGGCAGTACTCACAAATGTTTCGAGTGATGATAACACCATTATCAGATGTCATTTCCTATGGATTTTTCCTTATATTAATAGTTGAGAAATCCAGATTACTGGAGGTCGACTAGTTTTGCCACGAATGATATCAACCAGAGAGGATCCTTCTTTGAGTCACAAACCTTGCTGGGTAGTGTAATCTTATAGCAAGAAATGAACAAAATCCTTATCTGCTTATCGTAGTACCGGTAAAGGGTCCATATTGCTGCACTTACTACTCACTTTTGTCACCCTACTCTACCATCCCGTCCTATCTAATAAAACATACTGAACAGTTGAAGCTGCACCTTAAATACCCGGTTACTGTCACCAATACCTACGATCCCGTCATATCCTACATTATTTATTGAAATGCCCAAGTTCCACTGTTGATACGAAAAACCCTAGCAAATTCGAACGCTTTGGGTCCACGAGAACGGGAAGCATGAATATCCGCTCAACCATTTATTTCGCACAAACCCTGCCCCACTAGTACAAGAGTCCATATTATGTAGCCTGTATTCCTACCAAATTTCAACGCTCTAGATCCTCGTGACCAGGAGTAATGAATTTGCGGTCGATAAACTGTATCACCCACGAGCCGCCTAGTGCGGGCGGAGTCTGGTCCTGCTACCTGCCATATGGGGTGTGCTTCGTTGCGCGCGTCC